AAACGAACGTTAGTACGACCGACCTAACGTAGTAGACGTACTACACTAGTACCGTACCTACCTACTAACTACTAATATTAGTTCTACTCTTCGTTACTCTCTCTCTCTCTCTCTCTCTCTCTCTCTCTCTCTGGATCGTGCCTAGGCCACGTAGCCACTATCTGGTCAAGCTCAGACCAGGGGTCTTGAGCTGGCCAAGGCCTAGGATGGGCCCAGGCAAACAGTAACCCTGCCCAATGCTAGGCCAACACACAAACACACACAGAGGCAGATAGATGTAATATTGAAATTTGAGACCACGCATGTAAGGCAACCCTTTTTAGTGCAAAGGGAGTGTACACCATTGATGCTAAATGTCATCAATACTAAAGTTATTAAAATTGGAATAGCCATCAAATCAGTGGTGGCACTGGTCGGGTGGGACTGATCATTAATGCTAAATGTCATCAATACTAAAGCTACTAAAATTGGAAAAGCCATCAAATCAGTGGTAGCATTCATAGGGTGGGGCTGATCAAATTCTAAAAATACCTAAAAAAATAAAAAAAATATAAGGAAAAAAATGAGAAAACACAATAAAAATTCTAAAAAATAAGAAAATTTTATGAAAAAGCCAACCAATTGTAAATAAAGCATTAACACATCAAGCATTGATGGACATTAGTAAGTAAATCTCATTACTAACAATTGTCAAGGACTAAGTTTTTGTCACAAAGCTCAAATCACATTTCTTTTTCTCACAGATGGTTAAGCCCCATGCTGTAATTGTTCCACAACGCACAAAATACATTTCATAACATGGTCATTATATATATTGACAAGTATTCCAATCAAACATCAAATTCTAAAAATTGCACCCCAAATGTAATCATCATCTTCATGTCCTCCTTCATTTGTGTCATTATCATGATCCTCATCATTGCGATCACCATCATCAAAAATCACTAGATCCTTATCTCCATTAGCCATAAGAAAGATGATAGGTCATTAATAACCTAAGTGTATCTCAATGGCTAGGATCCTAGGAGTATTGAAAATGACCCCCAAAAAAAAAAAATTACCTCCTTGATCAGTCTTTAGATTGTGGCACTGGGTAACAAAATGTCCAAATTTTCACAGGGATCTACAAGATGCTGATGAGTCAAATATTCCCAAAAAACAATAATATTTAAGATGGTGCGATGGGAGAGTTAGATTCTTGTCAAAGTTCAAATTCGAAGACGTTTATGTGCTAACACAAAGGCTGCATGGGTAGGTGTGCAGTTGGGATGGTCAAGGACGTTCTACTGCTGGATCCTTTTACAAGGAATAAGCCCGTAAGAGAGTAAGAAAAAGAGGGAGGGGGTCTTTTGGGCCCCCCGGGGCAGTGGTGTCCGGGGGAGGGGAGGGGGGGGGCGAAGGAAGGAGAGGTGTAGGTCGTGAAGAGTTGGTGTATATTCTTTCGCGTGACTCACAAGTACCCTTGGAAGGATTGGAGAAGGCATCCCCATAAGGTGTTGGCAAAAGGCACATAAGGAAAAGATGGTTGTGGTTTTCAATGTCTCTTTAGCAGTAGGTCAACAGTAAGGGTTCAGTTGGACAGAACCAGCCAGTTAAGAGACTTTCAGGGGAATGGGTGGCAGCAAGACTTTGTTGTGGATGAATGGGGTTTAGGACGAAGGTTATGGTGAGGTAAAAAAAGGAGGCAGAGAAGTTACTACAAGTAAGTTTGTCTTGTTGTATGCCAGGTTGGATGACTGGTTGTAGGGACCGCAGCAAATCAAAGAATGGTAGGGCTTCCTGGTCAGTGGACAGCCTAAAAATGGGACACCAGAATAGGCCATTACTGGTATGTTCGAAGCAGTATTTGCCAAGAAAGGCAACATAGGTTCCTTCGAGGCTTATAAATTCCTTCCCCCCCCTTTTTTTTTCTTTTCGAGGTTTTTCAGGGGTAGAGGAGTGCATCAAACTTTGTTTATCAGGTCACAAGATGGATCATTTTTGTAATGTTGGACCTTGAACAAAGGAATTCCTTCATAAGTCTCTCCAATTTTTTGGTTTGCACTGGCGGGCATGTGGAAGAGAGGAAGAAAATGGGAATGTTTTTTAATGTGGACTTCATAAGGCTAATGTGTCCTCCCAGTGTAAGATAACTTTCCAAGCCCTCAATGTCATTGAAATTGCTCTATAAAAGGGTCCCTTCCATATGCATAGGGAGCCCCAGATATTTGGATGGGAGAAAGTTTCAGTACAACCGATTCACTTGGCTAGGTTTCTTAAGGTTTGAAGGGATAACCATCATCTTTGATTTGAATATCCAGCTAATGCGTCGAAAAGCTCTTGGGGAGATGCACCCAACCTTCAGAAGTTCACCATCCGCATCTAACCAAAGTTGCAATATGAGTAGTCATAAGAGGAATTGAAGCATGTTTGAACACATCTATATGGATAAGAGGAATAGGTCAGAGCAAAAGAGGTTCAATGACAAGGTGTTTCATGCAACAAAATTTGAGATTGAGGCACATATAATGAATAAGAAACTACAAGATTAAGCTTATTTATTTATGATAAGCTACACTATTTTTCTATTATGGTATAACCAAAGTACTATGCTAAATTAATGTAAAATGTTGGATCATTGAAAGGCCTACATGCTCAGATCCATTAACTTGGGAAAATTTGATGTCGTGGAAGAATGGGTCACGTATAACAAGCCACTAGAACTCAAAGGCATTGAAGAAATATATATAATCAAGTGGAAATGAAAGGAAAGGAAAAAGGTAACTTTTAAATAATCGTCTTAGAACTTTTGGTTATTTTCAAGCGCTTTCAGCTCCTAACCTCTAGGACATACTATGGTTTATAGCATAATATCTTTCTCATAAGTGGTGGGAATGAGGAACTAATGGGGGTCAAAGATAAGGGTGGTCATGAGACCATGATTAAATAAAGTATATGGAAGAGGAGATGAAAAAGAAGTTGATTACAAATAGGTTGCAATTTTCAGAATATGGCGTTCCAAATTCGATCATAAAAAACTTATGAATTTATGTACCATCATGTTATGGAGAATTGAGGCCATGTTATATAGTATATGCACAATGTAATACATAAAAATTGTGGTGTGAAGCATTGTGAACGAAGTGCACTTTCCTACGAATGAAGAAGGACCAACGACGATCTTTGAGGATTAGGAGGAGAAGGAGCAATCAAAAAATTCATAACCGGAAGTTAAGTCAGCCTTATCATGCTACAAAGCTTTTTTAGTCATTTTTAGGCCTACATGCTCAAATCATTAACTTGGGAAAATTTGATGTTGTGGAAGAATGGGTCATGGAGAACAAGCCACTAGAACTCAAAGGCATTGAAGAAATATATATAATCAAATGGAAATGAAAAGAAAGGAAAAAGTTAACTTTTAAATGATCGTCTTAGAAGTTTTGGTTATTTTCAAGACCTTTCAGCTCCTAACCTCTAGGACATACTATGGTTTATAGCATAATATCTTTCTCATAAGTGATGGAAATGAGGAACTAATGAGGGTCAAAGATTAGGATGGTCATGAGATCATGATTAAATACAGTATATGGAAGAGGAGATGAAAAAGAAGTTGACTACAAATGGGTTGCAATTTTCAGAATATAGAGTTCTAAATTTGACCATAAAAAACTTGTGAATTTATGTATCATCATGTTATGGAGAATTGGGGCCATGTTATGTGTAGCATATGCACAAAGTACTACATTAAAATTGTGGTGTGAAGCGTTATGAGTAAAACTTTGTCATTGACAGTTGACACTATCTAGGATTTCTTGCTTAATGCTATGTAATACTTATATAATTCGTGGCATCATGGATTCAAATTTTGTTCATTTGTGATTTGGTAATTTTCTTGTCGTTGCTAAAAATTCTCACATTTTAGAAATTTTCTCACTTCTTAGAAATTTTCTCACTTTCATTTTTTCTGTTTTTCCAATTATTCTTAATATTTGATTTGTTAGATCGGTGAAGAATCTTCAACATCCAACCTCATGCGTAATTGTGAAATAAACGATCCTTCTAAAGCATTTCATGAAGCAGTTCATGGTTGACCTCACACTCATTTCATCTTCTTCCCCATCAATACACACAGTCCACTTTCTTTTGACAATGGAATCTTAATTCCCCTAATGTAGATAACCCATAGTTTCCAACCCTATATCACCTATAGTCCTGAAGCAAATCCATGAAGAAAATTACAAAGTGGTTCCTACTCATTCTCTTTCCAGGTATGGCATCATTTCACATGGATTTAATTGCAGAATCTAATAAATAATTGATAAATTTCACCATTTCTTTATCCAAGATAAAAGTTTTCAATCCTCAAGTCTTACTACTGGAAGATCCCATAAGAACCAACATGATTGTTTCAAGTAAGTATTAGCAACAATTAGCACATATCATTTCAAAGACAATACACTGACAATATCGAAAGATTATCCACACAAACAATTTGGACCCTTTCAATGAAGAATAGAACAGATATAGAGTACTGTAGATTTGCTAATTACTTTAGCTTACCAATCGCGGGACTTCTGAATAATCATATTTCAATGATGATGCAACCAAAACATCCAAACTTAACTTGACACCAGTGCCACCCTATGTCAAAAGGAGCACTATTCAGAAACAAGACAACCCGTGATAACTTATTGACTATTACAAACAACTAAAAAATATGGAAATATTACCTGAACAGGCAGGCCAGGAGGCTTATTCACTACCACAATGGCTGCATCCTAAGTTTCCATTAATTAGTATGCAGGGATCATGAGTGAAGAATGGATACAAATAAAGAAACAAAATCTATGTTCAGAACCTTATACACTTCAAGACTGCGGATGTACTCCATCTCTTCTTTGTTGCAGATATAGTCATCCTCTACTTCAACAGCAGGATTCACAGTGATAGGAAGAAAGATTCTATCCCCTGAATTTAATGTATCTTTTGCAAAAACCTTCCAAGTAATAATTAAATAAGTTAAGAGACACAATGATACCAGGACACTATAACTAAAAAAATAGTAAAACAAGATTAATTAGTGATCAAGAAAAATATATAGACAGAATAAGACGGATTCGTAATGGACAATCATACCCTTTTAATTTGCTGATATTGAGCTTGCTTATGTAAACAAGAAGCAATAGCAGGGTTCAGAGATTCTTTACGAACCTATCATGGAGTAAAATGCATCAAATCAGACAAGATATTACAAGAAGCATCTCAAAATTTCAAGCACACTTTAACTATTGTATGCACAAAAGCAGCTGGAAAAGGCATATTTCACAGTAAAAGTGGCAACCATTGAAGGTGAAGAGAACTTCTAATAGGTTTTTTTAATGCTTGCTTTGTTCTCAACACTCAAATGCATTTGAGAACATCACTTTAAACAATCTGCAAAATCAGGTCCTGCTTATATAAAGAAATCCTTAAGCATATATGGAAATGTACATCCTGTCATCGCAATCAACATGTAATATGTAATAATCACAAAAAGTGATCCAAAATCAAAAGGTAAAAGTAAAACTCTTGCTCAAAGAGCAAAGAGTTGAATGACAGTTTAGGCAGGGGAAACTTGCAAACTATAAATCTGACATGGGCCACAAGGATCGTGAGAGTCTTATATAAGGGGAAACATGCTGCAGAGTGTAGCAACCACCTGTTGGGAAAGGAATGGCAGGCGAGGATGCTATTAGTGGGGATGGACATGCTAGAACCAAGTAGAGTTGTGTAAAAAAAAAGTTTCATAAATCCCCAATGATTAGTCCCTTTTACATGGGTTCATAGTCAAATTGCCCAAAATAGCCCTCATAAGCATTCCAAAAATATAATATAAACAAATAACAAAATTAGTCCCCCTCCTACATATATGCAGGACATACACGAACTTCAATAGTCTTCCCACAAACTAGAGCACCACTAGATACAGATATATCATCATCATCAGAGTATTTTCCCAACTATATAGGGGCTACATGCATCTTGATCCGCCATTCTAGTAAAAGTTTTGGCAAAGTGTTACATTGGCTGCCTACCTAACACAACCCATCTCCTTTAACCGAGCTTGGGATGGGTTAAGGGAAAGTTTAAGGTCATCAGCCTTCTTAGACCACCACTAGATACAAATATACAAAACTTAAAATAGTTTTCCCACAAACTGGAGCACCACTAGATACAATTATACGTTCCAGCATCTTGCATAATGAACTTGAATACATTAGACCAAGTATCAACATGTACAATATTGATAGCATATACTTTAATGACAATTTTACATAGAGAGATAGATGACAATTTAAAGCATCCAAAGTGATGGACCTATATAGTAAATATGTAAGCCAAAAGATATTCTACTAATGTCCATTTACTCCCTTCAGTAAAACCCCACTTAGAATTAATTTTAGAATAATTTTTGGGGATACAACCTCTTCAACCCATAGATTAACTTCAATAAAAAAATACCTAATTGTACCCTTTATGCACTTGAAAAAACTAATGTCTCAAGATTAATAGAGACCATCCAATTTTTAGATGGTGAGACCTAAGTGTTTGAAAACTCAAATTTCATTTTTTTTTTTTTGAAGAATAATAATCTAGTAATTCTTAAGTGGTTCCCAAAATTTCAGATTGACAAAATCCTCACATGTAGGTCTTCTGACCGAGGGGGTAGAAGCAAACTATACTCCTGAGGGAGCTATATGAAAGACTCCCATTGATGTTCTCCCCACTATTTGACACTTACCCTCTTATGGCCAGCAAGAATACAAAGGTATATGTAAGCATTAATAGAGAGATTTGGAAGAGCACGAATGACTTCAAAAGAATGAAATATCCATTAACAAACAGGGTTTCGTTGTGACAATGCAAGGAATACCACAGCAGCTTAGCAGCTCCATTGAACATCAAATCCTCGACTCAAATGAGAAATGTTCAACTACCTGTACAGTTCCTTAGCTATAGATAAGAAAGAACAAGAGGGACAATTGGGAGAGAAGAGATGCAAGGAAACCTAACAACACAAGGACAAGGTACGATACTTTTGATCAAATACAACTTTGAAAAGAAACAGGAGGCAATGGCCACAATCCCCATAGACATCTCCATAATCTCTGTTATGTTGAAATGATTCTCAGAAGTGAAGACAGTGCAGGAATGTTAATATGCATTTTAGGCATGTGTCAATGTTACATTCTGTAAACTGATGCAGCAGCCTTGAGTTCCAATATACATCAGTTACTTCCTTGGAGAGCGAACCTAATATGATAAGGCTCCTAATCATGAACTTTGGGGGAATTTAAAAAAAAAAAATTGCATTTCTTTGTCACTACATTGGTATAATCCAAAATATGGTGCGATCTACTTGTTTGAGGCAATAGCTTATGCAATTCATTATAGGCTGGTAGGGCAGCCCCTACCCTGGGCAACCTGTGATGACCTTTAATGACATTCTGGAATCTGGAAATAGGCTCCTCTAGACCTCTCTCATTTCAGAATGTTTTCATGGAAGCTAATGAGGCTCTAGTAAAACGTGGTGCATCCTATGATGCTCTTCTAGTAATGCCTGATTTTATGGATCATCAAGATGTAGCTTTGAGAAATCCTTGACGCAAATGTGCCGAGCCTCTTGAACACATCCATTTTTAACAAAATTTACAGTGTATTTACCAAGAATACCATACATGCATATATATGGGACTAAAACTTCATCCGTGTCCAACTCTAATGCAATGTTAGACCAGAAAGTTTGCCACCATAAAAAGAACAAAGAATCCATTTAATGAGTTTTTCCCTTTGGAATTAGCATGGTATATATTCCCCAATGGAATCAGTAATATGCCCCAGATAAGAATACATCTATCAGGGACAAAGAAAATATAAAACCCTGCAACACTTCACCTTAATTTGAAAACAATGCCCGCTTGGATGTCGACAGTGCAAGATAACCATATACAATATGAAGAAAGATATTACTCTCATTTTACCTCTCAAACAAGATTAATAGAATGCTAGACCATACAGTATGCATTAGCTCTTAAATTTATAGTCAGTACTTCTGTTCATTTAAGGAATTGAAAAGTTGTTTTTAGCTCAATAAGTTTCAACAACAATGATCCTAACAGAACCAAACTTGCTCTTCATCTTGGTGCTCACAAACTTAATCGCTCATTAAGTTGGGTCCCGCACCAGGTATATTTAAACTGTGTAAAATCCTGAGTATCATTTTTTTCAGCTGCGTTATACATAAGAAGAATGACACAACGAAAACCATTTATTATCTTATAGACTCACTCCGATCACCACACCATCTCCTCATTTGGGCCAGCGTTAGAGCTCACAAGCCACCATAACTAATTATTATTCCATACTCAAAATAAATTTGAATTTAAATGACTGAGATGAGTTCCATTGAAACTATTTTGTGAGGCACTGCGCAAGATTTATCAGAGAGAGAGAGACCTGTCGCAGTCGAAAGAGCTTTTGGATGAGGGATCTCGGCACTTGTGGACAACAACGAAGGACCCATTTGAGAGCTGTGGTGGAGGGGGCTTTCGCAGTCTTTGCAGTCGAGATAGAAGGCGAAAGAGAAGCGCCAGGAAAAGAAGGTAAAGTAAACCATTTGCATTGGCGCCTCACCTCCTTGTCTTCCTCCAAAGAAGCAGTGGTGGAAAGAGAGGCGGATAGCGTGAAATGGGTTAGAGAGAGAAGCAGCCTGTGCGACTTTGCCCTGTAGCAACTGATCATTAAAACGCCTCTATTCATTGAAGCAAGTATCCCTTCGCCTGAACTCGTGTTTAAAAGTATGAGATAACCAAAAGCGAATTTGAGACAAAAACGTCCCCTCCCAGCGAAACAAGATCCGAGGTTCCTTTCATAAAACAAACGCTATGACCCGGGGGAGTATATACGTCCATCGAGTGATTTAAAAGTGGCGGAGTCCGCACTCGCTCCTGCTTGTAGATACGGGAATCGGTCACTTGTGTTGATTTTATAGAAAACCCGACGCCAGAGTCTACAGTAAACCGCTCGAGTGAATATGTATAATCAGTAAATGATTCACCGGTGAGTCTCTAGCCCGAGTCAATATACATAATCGGTAGATGAGATCATCGGTATTTTTATGATGTCATAAATCTACATTTGTTTTCAATTTTTTTGTGCAAAGGTATCGATATTTTGTTTTCTATCATCAAAATAAGGGGTCTCTATCATGGTGACATATTTTTTTACAATACATTTGTTTTCAATTTTTTTTACAAGGGTAATTGGGATGTTTTTTTTTCTATCATCAAAATAAGGGAACTCTTTTAAGGTGACATATTTTTTTGCCAGGGTAATTAGGATATGTTTTTTCAAAATAAGAGGACTATGTCATGGCGAGTTGAAATCACCACACTAACCATCACGAGACCCCATGTTGCATTCATTCATGACCAATATGCTAGTGAAATGTCTTTGAAGCTTTCGATGGGGGACAATTCCCACTGTAGCAGCTTGATAACAGAGTTTGTAACCATTAACGTGCACTTGAGCAAACCATAGCATGCAATTAAACTATACGTTTAATTAAACCATTAGTTCTTATGGAATTTAGTTTATTACAAAAAATATTTATTAAATTAATAAAACAAGTCTTTTAATCATTATGTTTATTATTAAAAATATTTATTTAATAGATTGAGCCTTTTATAATAAATTACATTTATTATTAAAAATATACATACAAGAGCCATCTTGTTTTTTGAATCACGTTTAATAAATATTATAATTAATAATTATACTAATTACATTGATAACCAAAAGATTATTTATTAATATATTTGTATTATAACTTATATACTTTAGTATCTTTTGTTATAGTTGTAACTTAGATTTTAAAATTAGATACTATTACAAGACAAATTTCAAATTTATTCTTATTTGAATAGTAAAATTATTATAAAGTATAAACCAATAATTTCAATTTCAATGTATAATATTATTGTTAATTAGGTTGTGATAATTGTGAATGAGTAAAGATAATTAATAAATGTTTGATCTTATACTAATTTCACTTTATATAGGATAATATTATTTTTAATCTTATAAAAAAATGAAAGTTTTTAATGTAGTACCCCTATTTCTTATTGGATTCCTAAAAAACAACATTTAATAATGATTTTTAATCATTTTTTTGGATTTTTTTTTAGGCCAAATCCGGCCGATTCTGCCAATTCCCGATCTGAAATGTCGATTCACCAATCCGGATGGGTTTTTGGGGTACCCAATCCGGGGCACCAATCCATATTTTAAACCATTGTGTCCATCTACCCTCTCCCTAGTAGCCAAACAGTGGGACAAATCATCCACTCCTACTCCGAATCGACTGAATTAATTCGTTAATGTCTTGAACATTGATTGGCAACCTTGGCCTCCTCAAAAATTGTATCAGTTCGAAAGATCGGCGATTTAGATCAGCAGGATTTAAAACAACATATTTACAAAAGAAAAACTAAAAATGTCTAAAAATAGTGCTTTTTTTTTTTTCTAAAATTAAGAGCAGTGTTCGCAAAATCGAACCGGAACGGTTAACCAGTTTTGGGCCTGGGAGTGGTTTGAACCGGAACTGGACTAACCGGGGCTGTTAACCGGACTAATCGGTCAAGTAGATTATTTAAAAACAAAAAGGGTAAAAAAACATCCAAAAAAATTTAAAAATAGAAAAACTCATATTAAGTGTATACTATTATATTACATACATTTATCTTATAAAAAAAATTGAAACAACTTTTATATAATTTAATATTTGAATACTATGAAATATGCAACACAATTTATAATTTCACATTTATTCAATTAATGAAATTACAAAGTCTAACTAACAATGGCTAGTAGTAATGAGAGTAGTGAGGGGGATCATGGTACTGTTGTGTGTCACTATCAGGGTTTACAGGGCGAAAAATCTGAGTAAGGCTTGGAGGAGTCTGTAATGCCGCAGTTGTGCCCCCTCGCCAATCAGGAACATTTCCCGTGGTACCCCCTTGGCCAAAGTCTCATAGACTTGTCCAACCTTCATACTCTCCCCCACCTTGTTCTGTGTTACCCCTACCCTGTTTTGTGTTATGGCCCTCAACAGCTTCAATATTATTATCATCATGAATAACGAGGTTATGGTGACTGCTACAGCTTCGTCTCTCCCTTGTCGAGTAACTTTTCAGGCCTCGAAGCCGCGACTTCCTCACGAGCCAATCTCATTAAATCTTCATGTTCATTAGACACCGCATGATGTTGCGCCCCTTTACATTCCTGGATGACTGGTTCTCGCCAGTTGTTTTCCATTGTCTCATCTGTCTCTTCATCATCATGTGCCTCATTTTCATCCTGTGTAGAATCGTCATCCATGTCCATTGTCATGTCTCCTTCATTAGATGCTGCAACATCCACATTATCATCCACATCGACAACTGCCCCACTAAGAAAATCTTAATCTAGTAGTGGGGTCCTTAGTGATACCCACTCATCGGCGAGGTCCCTCCAAAAGATGTAATCAAAGTTGATCAGCATGTAGTCTGTGGGGATCCTCCTTATATGTCTCTCTCTCAATTTCAAATTGTAATGAGTGTACACCAAGTTGTGCAGCGTCTGAGTCTTTAACCTATTTCGCCTTGGGGCGTGTATCCACTGAAATGTACTCCAGTTTCTCTCACAGCCCGAGGCAGCACATGTTTGACTCAAAATTCTAACTGCAATATTTTGCAATTGCTTTGTTCGAATTCCGTGTATCGTCCACCACTGTGCTAACACAGATAAATATAGAAATACTTAATAATAGAAATTAAATTTATTTTAAAAAAAACCACAAATAATATTGTACTAAAAAATTGCAAGTTTTAACTTAAAACTAACCTAGGTGCAATTTTCCAGCTGCTTTTTTGGTATTGTTGTATGAAAATTCCCCATTTTTTACCATGTACATGATAAGCTAGAAATAACAACATGCGTATACAATAAATTAGTACTACATAGAAATGTAATTCATTATTCTAAATTGAAATTTTATTACATACATGTTTTGAGTAAGGTGTACCTGCTGCATACATTCCATCTAAGTTTCAATATTAGGATCAAGCCTATAGATGCAGTTTCTTACCCCCTCCATGATATCTGCATCATCTAAAATGACATTGGAGTACACATTTTGTTGATTAAAAAAGAACCTTGCACATGGTTTATTATATTATTAACTACGGTAACTTTACTCGGAGTTGAAAAAGAATCATGAATTGCGGTAATGAATCATAAATTACCTGTTGCATGGATATCCCGGTGCAGTTGGTCTCTGCACCTACGATCAACGATCTCCAATATCTCTTCAGTCCATATGTTATTCTCTAATATAGCTTCCCTTACGCATCTCATTGCATCAAACAAAAACCCCATTGCGGGTTTATCATCAGAGTCACTTAACCTTAACACTCGTACTAGAGGTTCAGTTACAGAAACAACATTATTACATTGAGCCCAGAACCTCCGATCGAGAAGGGTGGTCTCAACCTGCCTTCCAAGTTGACTCATTGCTGCCCTATCAGTCTGCCATTCATTAGAGCGTATCATTGACCTCAATCCTACCTTGTTGACCAACAACGATTGTATCGTAAGGAACGTTGTAGCGAACCTAGTAGTGGACTCCTTGACAATCTCTCGCATGCAATGCTCCCTCATCAAAGCATGGAGGAACGTGTAATTATATAAAAACCTTGTAATCAACTTGCTCTTCAAAACATACATTTTAACCCTCCTCAACTTCCCTATTTCCTTGAGCATCAAATTAATACAATGGGCAGCACAAGGAGTCCAATAAAGATTGAGTGTTCTCTCCATTAGCAACAAGTCTGCTTTTCTGTAGTTCGCAGCATTATTAGTCACTACTTTGAACACATTTTTAGGCCCAACCTCATCTATAATTTTGTCCAGGTGTGTACATATCAGTCTCCCAGTATGTCTCTTTCTTGATAAATCAATGCTAAAGTGGTAAACAATGCCCCTAAGGCAACCTATTAAAAAGTTGACAAGATACCTATGGGACTTGTCCTTCCAACCGTCAGTTATGATGGTCACTCATGTACTTTGCCAACAGACTTTGAATTGTGCAATATGCTTATCGACATCATGAACAACAGCTTCTAAACATGACCTTACAAGCTCCTTCGCAGTTGGACCTCTAACACCTGACCCTACCTCAACTATAAAAGTTATCATCTGTGGATAGAAGTCTGAGTTCGCAGAATTAAATGGTAGTGCAATAGCATACCAGAACATGCTAATCATCTTTTTCACCGTTTCTATTAATACACTTGCTGACGGAAATTTTTTTTTTTTTATGATATTGTGGCCTGTGGGGATCAAGTCCAGAGGGTTCGTGGGTCATTGTTGGCACATCTATGGGTTCATGTCGTTGAGTAGTAGATGGGCGACTATAAGAGGGCGGGCGATTAGAGAAACTACATCTCAATCTACTAGATGTGGATCTAAGCAATGAAGGCCCACATCCTCCCCTACCTGGTACTACACGTTCCTGAAGTTGACGGCTACTGGATGCACCATCCCTTCTCCCATACATCTATTGAATTTCTATTTATCTATAATTGTGCTCTTGGAGACTAACAATCTTAGCTCGTTCCATTTGTGCCTTAAATTCTACTTCTTGGTCATCTTCCTCATCTAGTGGACTTTCGTGCCCCCTCCCTATGTCCTCTGCATCCCTTTCTCTCTGCACCTTTTTTCTTTTTCCTTTTGTAATTAATTTTAATATTTGTTGTTTTACTTCTACTGGCACTTCTTTACAACCGGTGACATTACCCTTTACCTAAGCAAGATGTTCTCTTAGAC